AAGGGGCGGGGCTAGGTGAAAGGGGCCGGGTTATATGAAAGGGCGGGACAAGGTGAAAAGGGCCGGGTTATATGAAAGGGGCGGGGCTGGGGGAAAGGGGGCGGGTTATATGAAAGGGCGGGACAAGGTGAAAAGGCCCGGGGTATATGAAGGGGGCGGGGCTAGGCGAAAGGGGCCGGGTTATATGAAAGGGCGGGACAAGGTGAAAAGGGCCGGGTTATATGAAAGGGGCAGGGCTAGGTGAAAGGGGCCGGGTTATATGAAAGGGGCAGGGATAGGTGAAAGGGGCAGGGATAGGTGAAAGGGGCGGGGCTAGGTGAAAGGGCCCGGGGTATATGAAAGGGGCGGGGCTAGGCGAAAGGGGCCGGGTTATATGAAAGGGCGGGACAAGGTGAAAAGGGCCGGGTTATATGAAAGGGGCAGGGCTAGGTGAAAGGGGCCGGGTTATATGAAAGGGGCAGGGCTAGATGAAGAGAGGCGGGACTAGATGAAAGGAGTGGGACTGTGACAAAGGGGTGGGGATGGTGGAGGCACCCTCAACCACGGAGCTATGTGAAGATGTACTCAAAGTAAGGGTCGATTCTGAGCTGGGGTGTGTGTTTTTGAGGGTATGTGAAAATTATATGACATTTATTTATCTTTAATCCAGCAGGGTCAGATAGTCCCTGGAGCAATTGGGGTTTAGCCTGCCCAACTTCCTGGAGCCCCCCCCCCATTGTGACTAGCTGGTGATGCGAGCCACATTCTCCTGTCTCCATCTCCTGATGTGGGCCAATAGCGTGGGCGTGAGTGGGAGGGGCTTACCTTGTCCATCATGGCGAAGATGCGGTCGACACGTTTCTCCGGGGTGTTTTCCTCCTCCGGCAGCTCAACGGTGTTTCCCACCATCTGGTAAATAGCGTCCACGATGTTGAGCATCTCGTCCCGAGTTATGTAGCCGTCATTGTCGAGATCATACAGCTTAAAGGCCCCTGCAAACACACCGGGGAGAGGGCCAGGTCCATCAGGCCAGGAGGTACTGAAAAGAGGTCCCATACAGACAGACAACACGGTACCGGTAAGGGCTCCAGTGCAGTCAGGTGGCACAGTATAGAAAAGGACTCCAGTGCAGTCAGGTGGCACAGTATAGAAAAGGACTCCAGTGCAGTCAGGTGACATGATACTAGTAAGGACTCCAGTGCAGTCAGGTGACACACTACCAGTAAGAGCTCCAGTGCAGTCAGGTGACATGATACTAGTAAGGGCTCCAGTGCAGTCAGGTGGCACAGTATAGATAAGGACTCCAGTGCAGTCAGGTGGCACACTACCAGTAAGGGCTCCAGTGCAGTCAGGTGACATGATACTAGTAAGGGCTCCAGTGCAGTCAGGTGGCACAGTACAGGTAAGGACTCCAGTGCAGTCAGGCGGCACAGTATATATAAGGACTCCAGTGCAGTCAGGTGGCACAGTACAGATAAGGACTCCAGTGCAGTCAGGTGGCACAGTATAGATAAGGACTCCAGTGCAGTCAGGTGGCACACTACCAGTAAGGGCTCCAGTGCAGTCAGGTGACATGATACTAGTAAGGACTCCAGTGCAGTCAGGTGGCACAGTATATATAAGGACTCCAGTGCAGTCAGGTGGCACAGTACAGATAAGGACTCCAGTGCAGTCAGGTGGCACAGTATAGATAAGGACTCCAGTGCAGTCAGGTGGCACAGTATAGATAAGGACTCCAGTGCAGTCAGGTGGCACACTACCAGTAAGGGCTCCAGTGCAGTCAGGTGACATGATACTAGTAAGGGCTCCAGTGCAGACAGGCGGCACAGTACAGGTAAGGACTCCAGTGCAGTCAGGTGGCACACTACCAGTAAGGCCTCCAGTGCGGTCAGGTGGCACAGTATAGGTAAGGGCTCCAGTGCATTCAGGTGGCACAGTATGGGTAAGGGCTCCAGTGCATTCAGGTGGCACAGTATGGGTAAGGGCTCCAGTGTAGTGAAGAGGCACAGTACCGGTGAGGGCTCTAGTATGGTCAACTACCGGTAAGGACTCCAGTGCGGTCAGGTGGCACAGTACAGGTAAGGGCTCCAGTGCAGTCAGGTGGCACAGTACCGGTAAGGGCTCCAGTGCAGTCAGGTGGCACAGTATAGATAAGGGCTCCAGTGCAGTCAGGTGGCACACTACCAGTAAGGGCTCCAGTGCAGTCAGGTGGCACAGTACCAGTAAGGGCTCCAGTACGGTCAGGTGGCACAGTACAGGTAAGGAATCCAGTGTGGAGTCTGCTTGACCGACTCAACCTTCGAGACCTGAGATGGGGTGTAACACACACTTCCCAAGGGGGAGGAGGGTTGGGGGGACAGACCACTGTATGAAATTGATGTGGGAATGCCCTTTGCAAGATATGATATCCCACAGCTGTGTGTGTGTGTGTGTGTGTGTGTGTCAGTGTGCCTGTGTATCTGTGTGCCTGTGTGTGTATCTGTGTGTGTGTCAATGTGCCTGTGTTTGTGTGTGTTAGTGTGTGTGTCAATGTGCCTGTGTTTGTGTGTGTATGTGCGTGTATCTGTGTCTGCCAGCATTTGCATGTGACTGCGTGAGACTGCATGTCACTGCATGTGCACTTACAGCGGAGCTTCTCGTCCAGGGTGCCCCGCGAGGTGACGGAAAGCGCCTGGATGAACTCGGAGAACTCGATGCGTCCGTCCTGTGGAGGGGGGGCAGACAGATGGAGACTGAGCGGGAGGATACAGGGCAGAGCCCTGGGCTCACCTGGACCAGAAAGTGGGGCAGCTTTTTGGGGACGAGCCTGCTGCTATTTCGGCTGCATGCCCCTGGAGGCGGCCGGACGTCACTGCGGCTCATTAGCAAGATGTATTCTTCTGTCAGGCAGCAGCCTCCACATTACCCAACCCCCACTCCCCAAAAACATGGCCTACATACCACTCCCACACCCTCACTCACATTCCCAAATCTGAGCATGGGGTACATGGTCTCTCAGTGATGTCTCCCCCCCACGAAAAACAGAATGAAGTTCTGCCCAAACCAGCATTAAGACACAGTGGTAGTCATACTGCACAGCTTCAGTCTCCGGAGCACAGCTGAGAAACTGAAGGGGACTGAGATCGTCCGCAGCAACTAGAAAGTGTTTTGACTGTAGTAGTGGGGGTGATTCCTCTCGTTGTCAAAAAGAATGTGGGTCACGGTGGTGCCCGTGACTGGGGTGGCTGGAGAAAGCCTCATCACAGCTACCGTGAAACAGCAGTACAGTAAGCCCTCGTGCACAGATCCGCGAAAATTTCACTGGAACCGAACTTGTATGCATCCGCAATTTTGTCGCACATCTGCGAAATCCTCAAAAAACCCTAAAGAAGTATTTGTTTAATTTTCGTAGTGATTTATCATCAAGTTTTCATGCTTTTAAGTGTAAAATTGATAAGAAAAATTTAGTTAATTTATATTCTACTGTGTTTTTGGGGAAAGTTCTAGAAATACAATAAATATCAGTTTAAAAAGGCCCTTAAAAAACGTGGCTTTCTTATGGAAACGTACCTTTTTATGTACATACTGTACTGTACCTTTACAAGATGCGAATCCCATTCGCAAAGTTTATTCCCTTTGGAAGTGTCATGACCTGCTCCTCCGATCCTCCTGTGTGCTGCACCCCCTCATCTACCTCCTGTGGAATCCCCGTGTGATCAGCTGTTTCGAGTTCCTGTCATTAGTCCTGTGTGTACAAGTCTGCGTTTAAGTATGTTTCCCGAGTCCGGTCATTAACGTAATTTTGAGTTTGCTGCCTGTTCCGTTGTCCTGCTTGTCTTTACCTTTTGATTAAACCCTGTGTACTCTTTTTACATCAGACATTTTTTTTTTTTTATGTAATGTATTAAGCTAACTTTTAAATAAAATTCAAGTGTTTTGGGAGCATATTTAGGGTTTAAACTATAGAAAGCACATATTACAATTTTTAGTGACTCTACCAAACATCCGCGAATCCTCCTCATTCGTGACGGGTTCTGGAACGTAACCTCGTGAATGTCCGAGGTCTGACTGTACACATGGCTCGCGGATTATTCACCATGGTAACCAGCAATTATGGGCTGATGGGGCACATGCCACTGGCGCCACCTGGGGGTGAAGGGCCTGCTTACTGGGGGCATAGAGGGGCGGCAATGAACCCACAGTAAGGGTAGTAATGGTGGGGGGGGGGGGGGGGGTCCCCCCCCCAAGGCTCTCCAAACGCAAGCTCCCACCCCCCTGCGTCACAGCGTGACGATTTTGGCACTATTCTATGCACCAGTGAGCCTTTTCAGGAAAATAAGAAGGTATTTCAGCTTACAAGCCAGTGAAGGTGTGAGCGTTTGCCCGCGAAGCTCTTTTTGGTATCTGGCCAAAAACTCACAGACACCCAGAATCCTTCCCAGGAACTTGGGAAGCCTTGCTGAATCCTCTCCCACTTCCCAGTTACCTTGTTCTCGTCAAAGACGTTGAAGACAAAGGTGGCAAACTTAGTGGGATCGCCGAAGGGGAAGAACTGCTTGTAGATCTTTTGGAAGCCGGCGGCATCCAGCTGTCCACTGGGACAGTCCTTGATGAAGCCCTTATACCTGGGATCGGGGGGGGGGGGGGGGGGGGGGGGGGGGGGGGGGGGGGGGGGGGGGGGGAGGGGGGGGGGGGGGGGGGGGGGGGTGGCAAGGGGGTGATGGGGAGACAGAGAGTGAGAACAGTGGGGTGTGTAGGCTGTGCCACTGTAGGAAGGCAGTAGGGGGTGTTGATGAGTTGATGATTTTCAGTGATAAATATTCGATTTATTGTGGCAGCAAAAGTGCAGCAACCCAGGAGTATGAGGCCCGCATTGCTGCAATTAGCCCACATGTCCAATAGGGGGCCCCCAATCGCAGTCCAGGTAAGACACTGCAGGAGAAATGCAAATTCAGATTCAACTCCCTATTGTCCCTCTCCCCTGCGGGCTATGCGGAGCACTCAGAAGATGGAGCGAAGGGCTTAGTGGGCTCCTGGAGATGCGACAGGCGGGAAATGACAACGCAAACGTAGCCGGCATGAACGCCAGGCTCGATGTCAGCGTGCCTGCAGGCTGCCCCTGGACGAGAGTCAGCGCAACTCCATGAGGGCCTGGCAGGGCAGGGACCGAGATGAGACTGCAACAGCGATTTCCAGAAGGTTCCGGCATCGGGAGGTCTCGCCAGAGATAACTAGAGCCGGGATTCTCCATGACTCAGCTCTGAATATTTATACTGGGAGCTGTGGGGGACACAAAACGCCCTTTCCTGGAGGGAGACTGGGGCAGTGCCGGTCGAGGTCCAATCGGAGCCCCCCCAGTGCATACAATGGCGGTGAAGCTTTGCAGCAGGATGGCAGCGGTGGCGAGGTTGGCTGGGTGGTGCCAGCGCTTTGCTAAGGTGGCACCCTCTCAGACGATGCCACCCTGGCCAATCGCCGTCGTGCTCCTGCCTCTTTCTGCAACTTTTTTCCAAGAAAAAACTTTCCAGGACATAAACCCACAGAGCTCTGCGCTTACGGCCTACACAGCCGTCTTTGATTTTAGCCTGCCGCGGCTGGTGCAGAACTGGTATTTAAACAGCTATTTTACTGTCAGAGACTGTAATTATTTAAGTGTTCTTAGCACATCAACTTTCTCTTTTTGTGCGATGTACTCTCACCGTCTGATTTGACTGTGAAGAAAATACCCCCCGAAATAACATTACGGATGACAGTGATTCTGTGAATGCTATCTTGGAGGGAAATTACTCTTCAAATTTTTATGCAAATGCATGGGGGTGAATTTCCTGTGTAAGTATAGCTCATAAATGTGTACCACCGGCAGAGTTCAGCCCTTTCCCTGGGGGGTGGGGGGAATGTCATCTGGTGAGGTAGCAAGGCATTTCCCCTCCCCCACACCCACGGTGTGATTAGCAACCCAGGAGGCTGACAGATACGACAGAATTGGTTAAATCAGGGGGATGCTTTGTTCAGCTACATGCGTAAGTGCCTTGGCCACACTGCAAAGCCTCACAGCCAGCTGAGGACGGGCAAAACCCCACCCAAAAAAGGGTGTAGGGGCCAATCCTCTGCTCCATCACTGGCGTGTGATAGAATCCACTGATTTCAGAAGTACTTTCACAGCAGACGCCAGTCAGATACCGCGAGCTGAGCATGTCTGAGCTGACTGATAGAGTCACACAGCCACTGATCTTTATATGAGAGGCAAAGAATAGCAGCATCCAGTAACTACCAACATGACTTTAGAGTGATAACAATACATTTTACATTTTATTTCATTTAATTTTATTTATTTAGCAGACACTTTTATTCAGCAGTGTCAGACAGTCCCTGCAGCAATTGGGGGTTAAGGGCCTCTCTCAGGGGCCCAACAATGAAATCACACCGTCGACCCTGGGATTTGAACTGCCGACCACCTGATCACAGGCACTGCCTGCAAACCCGCTGATCCCTACACCGGCCCCCAAGCAGAGCGCCCAACTGGTAACCAATAAAAACAGGATTAATTTCCCTGCCTTCTGGCGGCCGGTAGGGCCCCCCTCTTCAATTGCTAGTGACTAACTGGTGATTTGAGTCATATTCTCGTCTCTGACGCGCAGCCCCGTCTCGCTGAGTCCCAGAAACACGGACACCCTAACTCTTCATGTTTCGCCTCCGAAGATCCTGCCCAAGGAACTCCTCCCCCCATCCCGACCCCCTTCAATCCTATCCCACAGCATGGGGAAAGCCAGCTATTCAGTGCGGGGTGGGGGCAGGGGGCATACGCTTCTCCTCTGCGACCATCTGTCCACAATCCCTGCGATGCGGCCCTCGTTCTGCAAGGCCCCGCTGAGATTACCATTCCCAGTGGTCCTTCAGCCGCGCGATCCCTGTGATGCGGCCCTCGTTTCGCGAGGCCCCGCTGAGGTTACAGTTCCCAGTGGTCCTTCAGCTGCGCGATCCCTGTGATGCGGCCCTCGTTCCGCAAAGCCCCGCTGAGGTTACAGTTCCCAGTGGTCCCTCAACCGCACGATCCCTGCAATGCGGCCCTCGTTTCACGAGGCCCCGCTGAGGTTACAGTTCCCAGTGGTCCTTCAGCTGCGCGATCCCTGCGATGCGGCCCTCGTTCCGCGAAGCCCCGCTGAGGTTACAGTTCCCAGTGGTCCTTCAGCTGCGCGATCCCTGCGATGCGGCCCTCGTTCCGCGAGGCCCCGCTGGGTTTACCGTTCCCAGTGGTCCTTCAGCCGCACGATCCCTGCGATGTGGCCCTCGTTTCGCGAGGCCCCGCTGAGGTTACAGTTCCCAGTGGTCCTTCAGCCGCGCGATCCCTGCCATGCGGCCCTTCACAAATGTCCTCTGAAAAGCTAGCAGAATAATTCATTCACACCAAGCGAAACTAGATTAAAAAGATATTTGACATGCAGTCAAAGTCTGATGTGAGACGTGACTCAAAGTTGACGGCAGGTGAGTTGGGTCTTTTACTTAAAAAAATAAATAAATAAGAACCTGACCATGTTCATTGTGGCGGTGATCATCTCAGGGCTCAAAGGCACGTTTTCTGTAAAGAAAGGCCTGTGTAGCACCTGCCCAGAGGCGTGCAGCCCCACACTGGGCCAGTGTCTGTCACCTGCCTTCGTGGCGGTAACTGCAGGCTTTCAATAGATGCTCCATTAAGGAGAGACGGCGGGGCAGAGGGGGGACTGGGGAGGGCACCTGTTTTGGTCAGGATTCAGGATGCATATGACCTCGGCTCACCGCGTCTGCTGCCGTGTCGGACCCACTTTGTCAACGAACAGACGGCTTTCGGTAAATAAATGATTCAATTTGCGGCTCCTCTCCGCCAGATGCTGTCTGTGTTACCGGCAGGCTGTGTCGCCGACGCTTAACAGCATTCAATTAACATAATAATGACTCCGACTGGAAGCTTAAACGCTGGACTCCCAGCTCACATTATGCCCCAAAAGAACCAAGAGTGACACTCGAAGCCGTAAACACGGCAAACATTACCCGCAGTTTGCCAGACTCGATGCCCAGCAGGTGGCGCAGTTGTTTAGGAGGTTGTTGGTTCCAGTCGTGGAAGGTAGGAGAACCGAGGAATCTAACTTGAACTGCTTCAGTAACTTATACAGTTGTACAAATAAAAATGAAAAGATGTTTCATTTGCCACTACATGGAAATGCTTTCGTTTTCGCTTACCCCATCATCAGAGCACAGGCTCAGCCATTTATCCGGGCCCCCTGAGGCATTTTTCTGGGGGAGGGAAGGGCGGATTTGGGGCCTTGCTCAAGGGCCCAGCAATGTGTATAATCTGCTGAGATGGGGATTTGAACTGACAACCTTCCGATTGCAGGCACAAAGGCCGCACAGTATCCATCAAACAGGCAGATATAACATCTACATTGATATGACAAAGTCAAAATACAGGATAAAGAATCACAGCAGGGCAGGGCGCTGCACACACATTTTTCACACACAGTAGTGTGTTTCCATGTGGCAGGGCACAGTCAACAGAGACTGCGTGGTGCATGGGGACGCAATGGGCCGCAAACCCAGCCCGCCCACCTGGAGCGAGCGGCTGATAGGCTGATACCCAAGGCTTTCCTCCAAACCACCCAAGCAATTCAGGTTAAATATTTCCCTCGAGGATACAAAAGCATGTCCACGTTCATCCTAACACTTGCAACGTCAAACCTTCACTGTACACTGAACAACTGCAGTCTACAGCAAGACTGACGGGACTCAAACCTATAACCCATAACACAGAATATCGTAACCACTAGACCAAGCCACACACTTAGAATCCAAGATGGTGGGCAAACAGGAGGCGAAACTACAAGCTTGGGGGTGTCTCCTCGGCGCCCCAAAGCAGGAACCGCAAGAGAGGAAACAGTAGTCGCATCTCTGGCCAGCAAGACCACAGTCCCTGCTCCCTCTCCTTCTCTGCCCTTCAGCTGGGCAGCGCACTCACTGCCTCAACCAGCGCCGGGACACAGTGGGCCACCTGAAACTCTATAACATGAGCCACTGGCACCAAGGGATTATGGGAATGGGCCAAGATGATATTATATTCCTACAAGAAAAATACGGCTGCCTGCCTCAGGACAGTGCCATTATTTAATATTATCACCTCGGCTCTCGAGAAAATAAGTACAGTATTAATGTAGAGGGACTGAGTGAAAGGAATGACGGACCCTGTCCATCAGGGGTTTGTGGAACACAGTAAGGCGTAGGTAAGCAGATCAGATTAGGTCAACATCACAGTCAAACCAAATCAAATCAACATCAAATCAAATCAGAATTTATTTGCATAGCATGTGTAAATCAACCACAGGTTAATCAAACCACTGCACAGGCATAACATTAATTAGCAAAACAAAGACAGGTAGAATTTAAAACACAATAAAATGGGAGCACTAACACAGAAAAGGATCAAATAATAGATGCAAAAATAAAATACTCGATAAAAAGCAAAAAGCTTACATGCATGCATGTATCTGTGAATGCTAGCTTTTATGTGTGTTCTCTATGCCTGTGTATATATGCAGGGGAGTGTGCGTGTGACACCCCTGACCTCTGGTGGTAACCTCCAGGAGGAGAGGCACCCTGGGGGTGTGGCGAGCACACAGGCGTTGGGAGAAGGGTGACGGGGGGGGTCTCACTTACCACTGCTGTACCTCCTTCTCTGTGACTGTTATGGAATAAAAAAGAAAATGGCAATTGGGTTAGTTGGGCTTTTTGTTAAAGAGTTTACTATCCCCTCTACTCACAAATTTTTTTTTTTTTAATTGTCAAGATTACGCATACTGATACACACCGCAAACCACAAACCTTTACTGCAATATTACCTCATAATTATACCTCCTTGCACTGTAGTCTTAATCTAGTTTATCTGTTATAAATTTCTCATTACCTATATAATTACATATTTCTGTATAATTAAAAATATAAAGCATTTTCTTTTTTTGTTCTGCATTGTCACTGGAGTCACTTATGGGCTCACTGAGAGGCCACGCCCATCTGTGAGAGTCTCATGGACTGGCCACGCCCATCCGGGGGGGAGGGGTCTCATCGATTGGCCACGCCTTTCCAGGGTGATCACACCCATTTCACATGATTTTCCCAGGTCAGTTGTGCTTGACAGCATTAAAGGACCAGTCTGCCACATAACCCCATGGGGGATAAGGTCTTCTGTACATTGGGGGCAGCGTTTTAACACAGATCCAAATTACAGGTTACATTCCCCCTTTCAGGTTAATTACTGGCTAAGCAGTGTACACACCATTGCTGTAGGTTGGGTACTAATTAACTATCAGGTTACATTGTGGTGGTAGCCAACAGAACACCACCTGCGGGGTAATCTCACAGTGAGAGGACCTCATACTCCTCTTTACAGAGATTCCATCTCCGCACTCACTCTGTCCCTACAGGCCGGCCAGCTGAACACACAATTATTCATTTTTTAATCAAATAAAAGCCTGCAAGCGGGGGCATAGCCAGAAATTCTGTGTCCCCTGACAAAATTCGAGTCTCCCAAGGTAGACTCTGCAGAGTGGGGGTGGAGGGGAGGGGGTCCCCCCACAGGGAGGCTGACACTCCAGTTCTTACGTGTGACACAGAATTTGACAGGTGACATTAACAAACTGGCTAATATAATTCAGCATTTCCTTTACTGTCTGTATCAGCAGGATTTGTAACAAACCATGCTTAAGAACATAAGAAATTTACAAACGAGGGGAAGCTACCCAGCCCATCAAGCTCGTTTGGGGAGAACTTAACTAATAGCTCAGAGTTGTTAAAATCTTATCTAGCTCTGATTTAAAGGAACCCAGGGTTTTAGCCTGCACTATTAGTGTGTGTACCCAAGACTAACTTCCTGCTGAATCAATAGCATGAAAAAGCAGAAAGAGTGGCTACTGTTTAAATGGAGACACCCCGTTGCAAGAACATTGGGCCTCATTCATCAACCGTTCTTATGAACAAATTTGTTCTTAAACCCCACGTACGCACTTTTTAATGAACATTCTGACCTATTTATAATCCGCATAATCGCCGTTACTACCATGAAAATAATTTTTACACTTTAAAATTATTTTTTATATTTTACTTTTATAAATTATTAAAATACTATCATTTTATGAACTGTAGAATGAACAAAACTGCTATAACCAATTATTTTGAACAAACTATCATTACTCAAATGTGCATACGAATGGTCTTCAGTGTGCGTAGATTCAGTTCTTAGCTAAGAACAAATTCAGATAAGAAAACATTGGTGAATGTCAGAATCTTTGTAAAAAAAAAAAGTGCATACGTGGGGTTTAAGAACAAATTTGTTCGTAAGAACGGTTGGTGAATGAGACCCATTGTTCTGATATGATGAACACGTCACTTTACAGTCCATTTTCTAATTAAATCAGGCATTCACCTATTTAGCTATTTCAACCAAAACTTCTCCTGGTGACATCGGAGAAGCTTAAGGAGAAAAACCTAGTGACCGGTAAAACTAGATAAATGGACTGTTTCCTCAAAAGGTGATTTAACTTCCTAGGAGCATGTGGCCGACGACAAATGGGATGAACTGCGCAGTCGCCATTTAAACATGCATCATACGATAAGCAGGCCCTGAGGACACATTGATATGCTAAAGCAGTGCTGTCACCTCTGCACTCATCACGCGGTACGAGCAGCCATCACATTAGCTAGCCACCCCACCCCCAACATTTACTGTCACGATGGCCAAGAGGTCATTGTCCGATACTCTTATGGAGGGGGGGTAACCCAGGATTGTGTGAAAGGCAGAGCTGAGAGAGAGAGAGCAAGAGAGAGAGAGAGCGTGAGAGAAAGCGAGAGTGAGAGGAAGAGGGGGGGGAGAAGGAGAGGGAGAAAGGGTGAATGAGAGAGCAAGAGAAAGTGAGGAAGAACGAGAGAGTGAGAGAGCAAGAGATTAAGACAGGCAGAGAGAAAAGAGGTACAGAATGAGAGTGAGTGAAAGATAGAGAAAGAGAGAGAGATATGAGAGCTAAAGGAAGAGAGGGAGAGAAAGAGAGTGAAAGGGAGAGAGAGAGAACGAGAGAAATTGTGAGAGATGAATCATTGAGATTCATTGACAACTGATGACCTAGAGCCTAGACCGGAGTGAGTGAAGATGCTTGGCCAAACAAAACCCATCCAACGATTCATTGTCTTTTTATACCCTTTAATAACTCATAAGAATATGTGAGGGGGGGCACCAGCCTTTACTGAGGTAAAAAATTCTCATCTATCGACCAGTCAGCCATGAGAACAGGGCCTAAATAGAGCAGATCTGACCTGGTGATATTTTAGGGAAAAGTTCTGGAAACGACTTGCTGCTTTACCATATGGAGAAGAGGAATAATCACGCATCGGCCAAGTGGATGGGACCGAAATTATTGTATTAACATACAATAATTATATTTAGTGCCGTACCAATGAGAAAACTGACACCAATAACTGACATATTTTTTCAAATATTGCCAATAACCAGTTAAACTCTCAGCTCCGCAAAGCTGTAATGAGACTGATGCCGGTGACGTTACTCATTAAGATCCTGTGGATGTGTGTGGCGAGCACATCACGTAACACGCCGCTGAGACGTCAGCGAAGCAGCGCCGACTTGGGAGACTGCAGCGAAGCTCTAAGTGATGAATCAGCTGCGAAATCGGAAAATGGTTGTTCATCCAATGAATCATCTCTGTTATTTTAGTTATTCCATCTTTAGCTCTGGGGCTGCTAACGATGAATATTGACTAAAGTATGAATATTGGCCAGCAATACTGACCAAGATTCACACACTGGACCAATGTTGCTATCTTGCTTTTTAACGTACGTCAGCTGACACCAGTATGTAACTCGATTAATCGTGCATCTCTATTTGAAATAAACTTAATGGGTGTATTAACGTGTAGATAATCATTTCAGCCAGACACGGAGCTTGTAGTGCCCCCCGCCCAGTCATTGGCTCATGCTCCCTAAAGCCTCTCCACTGCAGAAGCCTGCCAAAGCGTCCTAATAACAACCAATGAAAGGAGCCATTAAAACATGCTCTCCTCTCATCTAGTGACTATTCCTTCACTGCTGTGACCCGACTGACACAGACTCTGTGACATTAATGGCATTAATGAATGAAATACACTAAAAACGGGTTCGGGACACATCCCATCCAGGAGAGGGAGGGGTCGTCCTGCTTCACCTTTCCGGGGATTGGCTGCCAAGCCCACAATAGCGATTATGGAAAACAGATGGATGGCGAGATGGATGGAGCAATAGACAGGATGATGGACAGAGCGATACTTGGATACACACACCATGTATGGGTGTGACCAGGTCCTGAATCTGGGCGTCAACCGAGTGCTTGCAGGCAGACGCGGCACCCGGCATGCAGATATCCGGAGACAGGGACAGTAACCAGGAACCGGCGGTGTCACTGGAAGGGGGGGGGGGTTCGTTTAATCAACACATCCCTTGCATCGGCGGCCTCAGGCTTCCTGTCTCTGGACGGTATGATGCAGGCAGTGTTAATGACATCATTACATGATTACAAGCGCTGTCCATGGTCATTAACGTCAAACCAGTCAGGGTTGGGGGAGGACGCAAAAAACTGTGGGGATGGGGGGGACAGATAGCTTCTTCTGTGGGGTGTGAGGGTAATTGGGTCTTTGGCATGGTCTGGTTTGGAGCAAGGCGCTGACCAAGCGGGAGGCAAGCCGGACAGACTCGTCCGGTCCGATCCGGTCCGGTCCCATCTCGCAGCATAGGTCACCCCGGTGACACGCTGGCGCTGATGTCTGCAGACATGCAGACCACAACAGACAGGAAGAGCTGGGGGTGGGGGTGGCTGTCCTCCTCCATTATCCTTCATTTAATACTCCGGGGCCTGAATGGCCCATTTTCCGGACAGAAAAAGAATCAGCTCGTTCTCCTTTCTTTTGGATCTTTGGGGGCCTGGTCTGTGGAGTGTACACCCCCACCTACTGGTAGTCAGTCTTCAGAGTGTGTGAACAGAAACCTACCCCCCAACCCCGATCAGTGGACTTTACTCCTGCATTTATAAAACTAGCAGATGGTCGACCTCATGTTCATGCGGTGCTCAGGTCTGAATTTAAGGGGAAATGACTTTAACTGATTATCCTGAGCCATTTCCCCAGCAGAGCTAAACGGATTAACAGCAGGCCTGGGTTTCAGGTTTAAAATATGACTAATAGAAAACATTAACATGACAAATATAATAATAGATATACAATCAATATCAATTTTTAGAGTAATAAACCTTCTTCAGAGATCAGATAATTTACATTTCCACAAACTGCTACATTATAAAAGCTTCATTAACCATCGACACTTCACAGCAAGTAATTATTTCTAAGCTCGGGATTAGATGTAAAGGGGTCTGTCAAACATATTTGATATAATATTCTTAATATCCCACCATTTCAGCCCACAGTAAAACTGCAGCAGTTATACATTTGCTTCCAGAACCCCTGGGGGGACAAGCTAAGAGCTAACCCACTGTTAACAGCACACCTACCCATGCGACAGAAAAAATACAAATGTCCCTTTAAGAGCAAAAGGTTTTTGTGTAAGCAGGGAGTATAGGAGTATAGATATAGAGGGAATACAGATGGAGTATAGATATAGAGGGAGTATTGAGGGAGTATAAATATAGAGGGAGTATAGAAACCACTTTTCATATAATATTTTTAGTGCTTTATTTATATTAGTATAACGTCAATATAGCATCCTTTAGATATGACATTAACATGTTTTTCCATCATACTTAAAGGCACAATATAGTTCAAATAGGCCAAAGAAAGATGCTAAAAATGCAGTTTTGGTTTAATAATATCTGGCGCAGGTCAGGACACAATTCGTCTGACAACTAAGTAGTAACAGTGACAAGCAAACGAGTGAATTTCCCGTCTCATTAAAAAAATTTGCTCGACATTTGGGTGAAGCGGTTTGCTCCACTACATTTCACACTCCATTTAGCGGATTAATTGAAAAAGGCACAGCTCTTCGCCGTTCCCCTCCATTCATTTGCCCCCCGCCCCCCCCCTTTCCAATAAAGAGACATCGTGCTGGGGTGCAAAGAGGTGGTCTATTTTCACAGGCAGTTGTTTCGGGAGATTAATGATGCAGGAGAGAGTCACGCGCGGTCGAGCGGCTGAATGCGGAAGGTTAGAAGACCAGGAAAAGGCCGCTGGCCGCAGACCACAGTGCTGTTTAATGTTTACGCTGAGCAGTCTGCGTCGCTGAGCAGTCTGCATCGCTTAGCCCTGGATCAGCGCCTGGCCCAGTCGAGTCAATCGCGGAAGGCTACAACGATCAGACTTCAAATAAATCATGTGCTCTAAGATATACGCATTTGGTTTAGTTAAAAAATAAAACCTGTGAGCAATTGGGGGCTGAGGGCCTAGTTTAAGGGCCCAACAGTGACATCACTCTGCCGACCCTGAGGTTTGAACCAGCGACCTTCTGATTGTGGCCACAGACTCATAACCTGCTGAGAGACACACCACCACTGAATGTTAACGATATAAACCTGCTACCAAAAACCGCCAGGCTGCAGGGGGCGCTGACAACGAAGAGCCTCAGAGGGGGTGACAGGTGTCACCTCGGGGGGGGGGGGGGGGGGGGGGGGGGGGGGGGGGGGGGGGGGGGGGGGGGGGCAGACAGCAGGAGATGGTGGCTGCGAGATCAGCCCCCGCAAGCTCATTAGAGACGAGATGCTCCTGTCTGGGGGGGGGGGCAGGCGAGCCCACAGACTCAGCAGAGTGGGGAATCTGCCAGGACCAATCAGTCTACGCCGGCCGGGACGGATCATCAGAAATCTGTGTACAACCCCAATTGTTTTATGTGCATCAGTTCCCAAAATTCGTCCAGATTGAATTTACACACAAATCCTGTAGCTGAGGGCTGATCTACTGAGATCATACAAAATAAGGCTCTTCTAGATCTAGGTTTCAGCTCAAAGGGAAGTTCTCTAAAAGTCGACACTATATCCTATCCCTGCATCTAGAGACCAGCCGGATTATGAATTTAAAACAGGAGGCCAAGACAGACATCTCAATAAGCAAATGTATAACTTAGTATGCTTCAAGCAGTGGGGAAAGCTGTAAAATCAATCAAGGTTACTGCAGCGGCAAGAGCTTTCAACCCTAATTTCAGACACGTGTGATGGTGGTTGGTCCCTGGTCAGAGAAACTCCAGTTTCATTTCTGCATGTATGCCAGAGGTTTAAGAAAGTGTCATCGTTAAATGTAAGATTCAAAACAACTCAGCTGGCAGTGTTGAATGGTCAGGGTGCTGCTGTAACCGTTTAAATAAGCCTACATTTAATTAAATTTAACGAGGTCTGCTTGTACACCGAACACAGGAAACCAGTTTGGGTGCAGAGGCTGATTATAAAGGTTTGATTTGGGAATGTGTTTCAGTAATCATTATACAATACTCAACGGTGTCAATCCTACAGAGTTTAAATATGATATGGCTCCAGGATCTCCGAATATTCACTGAATATCCAGGTTTCATTATTATTATTATTATTGTTGTTGTTGTTGTTATTATTATCCTGGAGGCGTGGCCGATAAAAAAATCTTTTAAGCAAAGCACGCGATTCCTCGAAGGTCCATTTGCAAATCGCCCTGCGTGTGGTATTTTCCCAGTCCTCGATCATTTAACAACACTGGGGAATGGGGAAAAGAGCGGATTTGCTTCCCCCACCTCATGAAAAGCCCATGAGCGGGTTGCAGCGGGAGGGAGCAGACAGGCTGCGCATCCCCGGGTAGTCGGATCGCCGGGTGACCGCTTCGGCTTCATACGGGTGCCTCTATTTACGGCTATATTTCTGTCTGCATAGACGAATCCACGGAGTAAAACGCATGTGCGGGATCTTTGATATGTCATATTGACTTTTCAAGATTTGCGGTTGATGCATGTCAAAACTTAAAAAAACAAAAAAAATCAAAGTAACGTTAGATTTTTTTTAAATTTGTGTGCAAACTCCACTTTGTGAATAAGCAAAACTAGCAGCCTGGACCCGGGGCGGCGAGACGCAGGAGACCAAACCGGGACAGGCGGCGCCGCCACGCAGATACGGGGCGGGCTCGGGGTCGGTCGCAGTGTCGCCGGTCCGAAGCGCAGTGTCGCCGGCTCGGTTCGACCAGGCAGCGCCAGATCGTCAGTATAGGCTTTGTTAGAGCTGCTTGTTCCGAGTCCCAGACGTTAAATATCCCGTCGCATCAGCCGCCCAGTGTTGGCGACAACTCGGTTCGGGAAGGGCTCGGTCAACTAAGACGCATGCTTAATGTGTGGCACCTGGGCAACAATGCCATACCCGCCGTACCAAAACAATGGAACGCCGGTCTGGACCTGTGTAAGAAACTCAGCATCTGAGCTTCACCTATTGACTAATTAAGCAGCAAAAATGTCTCATTGATTTAATCTGACATGCAATAAAATTCTGATTTTAACGCATGCAAACTAATAACGTCTGTTAATCGTATAACTCGGACTTATACACGAAGCAACTTTAGTTAGACACCGACCGGTAGCGTGTCTCCGATACACTCACCTCCGCTTAGAGTGATGCAAGCCGTCCGGGCGGAGGACATAAACACTAGACTGTTTGCCCAGCCGCAGCCCCGTAATCACAGCCCGCTAGTCTTTCGGAAGTGGAGCCACGACTCCCGGTCCGCAGCCGCCGCTTCCCTTCTCCTCAGTGGCAGACTCACAGCACGCCCCGGGCGGCACGTCGTGCTGAGTTCACACGCCGCCCTCACAGCGCCCCCCGCAGGACAGAGCTGGCGTTAACCCCTTCGACCCCTCGCTGGAAGAGGGTACATGTGTGTGCATGTGGCGACTAGCCACATGTTAAAAACAAATAAGGTTCATCAAGTGATAGAAACCGACGTGTTGGGCTGCTTTTTACTATTCGGATTGTTGTGTAAATACTACACGCATATGTGAAGGTGAAGCTCATTGTGTAACTTTCCAGACCTCGGGCCGTTTATAGTTTCATTTTTTAAAATAATATTTACGCTTTCCTAAACGCACGTATACTGCCAAATTGGTCGAAAAATTAAATCAACGCGAAATCAGTACTGCCGTAGACCTAGATGTTAATGGTTACTTCCCAAATTCAGCAACTGTTGAAATGTATCGAAGAAATTATGATACAATTATAATTCTAGATGTATCAGTAAGACATCAAAGAAAACGAGCTATACGATTTTCCGGTAATTATGTCTGCCACACTTTTACTCGTCATTTTACTCTAAGCTGCAACACATCGCGCGTACAGCGCTGATTTGAAATGTACTTTATTTATTTGTATTTCTTATTTCTTATTGTTTTTCGTAAGACTGTAAACCGTAGTGTTCCATGCTTTATATAAT